AGAAAACTGCGAAAAATCGATTTAAAAAACAATTCTTATGAACTTCGCGATAATGCGCCGAGACATTTACGATACGGGCGTTTCTTACAACTGTGCGATAAGAAAGCAAATACAAGATCTTGTGTTCAATGAACAGGCGGGACTGAAGTCACCAGTCGAACGGGAATGAGAAGGAATGAGTTCCCTTCCTTTTCTCCGCGCGATAAGAATGTTTACCTTTCCGATTAGCGCCGAATGCGACAACGAGCAGGTGTCATAGGTGTTGACGCAACAAAATACACACGGATTATGCAACAAAGTGCCGTCATAACACGAATACGTATCTATCGGGACAATAGAGCGAACGGGACGAGACATTCGTGCGAAAAGAGATGCGCGACGTTCCTTTCTTTCCCGGCGATACTTCCACGATAATAAACCGCGTCGCGGAAGCGAATTAACGATGTGGCGGTGTAACCGTTGCGCAACGGAAATGTTATTGTGAACAGCTAACGAAACACAGGTCGATCGGTCTTGATTACACGTGTAAAACGCAGCCGCAACACAAAATGTAACATCAAACCGGCTGACCTCGCGGAACACGGACGCGCTGCAATCGATTTCTGCCTCGCAAGCCACCATGCGTAATCAATTAACGCCGAATCGATAAATTGATCGAGGTCACAACATCTGCCGGGACAAATAATATCGCTATCACGTTGCGGATGCAATTAATCAAACGATTTAACCACCGTTGCCCGCGCGATATCTCACGTTTCGTTTTGACGCGGCTGTTATCAATCGGCGCGCGAAATCGATTCGCATTTATGTTTTCGCTAGATACGCTGAATATGCGTTTATTTGTGTGTCGACTGTTTTGCACTCTTTCGACAAAGTTATGCAAACCCGCGGCTTGACCGCAAATCAAGCGAGAAATCAAAGCGCGATTGATATATAATCCGCTTTTTGAAGAATAGAATTTCACCTCTCACAATAGAAGTTTGTTTATTTCCGTATACAATACTATTATGCAATAAAAAGCTTTACTCGCATGTCAAAGTCGTTGCACCTTATCATTTACGGTGTCGTTTACAATGGCGCAAACACATCATGAATGTATAACGGTGCGTTTTACTACGCGCTTGCTTTACGATGTTTCAGATGATTTTCATTATTTTTCGTATTTTTACGCCGCGCTTTTACGACGTTCACCGTGACGCAAGTACCGCAGTTTCATATTTGAGTGCCGATGAATTGCGATTCATGTGTGTATTTGCATATTATGTAACGCTTGGAAAAAATATATTATAAGACCTTCTAGATCTCAGAGTTTAAAAAAACATTGCTGTATAATTTATGTAAAAGAAATAGACATTAAATATTTCTCAAGACAGACCCACAAAATGTCTTACTGGTATCGCGTATTCGTTGCTGAAGTTTATCCAATTTGAAATAAAAATTTTAATCGAAATTATTATTGAATCTATATTATTAGAAAATATAATAGCGGTCTGTCTGGAGAGGCAAAAAATTGAATACTGATTCGAAGAAAGGCTTTCAACTTCGGAGGGAAATTATAAAGAGAAGGGAGTAAATGTAATTTCCAGGCGCGCGAATAGTTACGCATACGCTCGCGAGAGTATTTCTCTAACCACAATATTACAGCGCGGATCCATCGATCCTCTTCGATCTCACGATCCGTGAGAGATTCCTACC